GTGAGAATGGCTGACAGTCGGATTCCAAAAGATCTCCTGTATGGAGAATTAGTGCAGGGAAATCGCCCCAGAGGGAGACCACAACTGCGATACAAGGAGATCTGCAAGTGGGATCTGAAGGCCTTAGGGAATGGACCTCAACAGATGGGAAACCTTGACGTCTGAGCGTTCAGCCTGGAGGCAGGTGGTGCATCATGACTTCTCTCAATTTGAAGAAACCCTCGTCCAGCAGGCCGAGGCAAAGTGGCAGTCCCGGAAAAAAAAAAGCAAAATTAGGGAGCTGGACGGGGGACAGATTGTATTTGTCTTCAGCGTGGAAGGGATGGTCACTCTTGAATTGGCCTTCTCAGCCACACTAGACGCTGTTCCAAATCCTCTATTCAGAGCACATTACCATAGTCTCTTGAGACTGAAGGATGCCTACTACTACTATTTTTGTCCTCCATTGGACTATGCCCTTTATTCATAAACCACTCACAGATGCTTTAAAGACACCCTCTGAGCCTGCCATCGCCAGCTTTGTAAGATAATAACTATCTTAGAACTTCAGAGCTGGAAGATCATGAAGTCCAGCTCCCGTCAAGGAGACACAGTGGGAAATCAAACTTCCATCCTCTGCCTCAGTTATCCAGCACTCTTGGTACTGCTGCCTGCCCCCTTTTCTCTCCAGCACTTTGAGAAGGTGGTCCTAGTTGGTCTTCCATCACTGCAGCAGGCAGCCTGGTTGCCTCTACTTAATTCCTACGAGGTTCCATTCCAATCAATACAGGAGCCACTTAAAGCATGCTGAGCAAAAGATCATTCTCCCTTGAGTTGGCCTGCAAAAGAACAGAATGTATGTAAACACCTCGGGGCAGGGACCTATATACTTCTTTATAGTAAAGCAACAAGAGATAGTACCTATAATATTCTACACACTTGGCTGAAATAATACACTACTTTTGTTGTTTATTATGTCAGCCAAGATTACAACTCCCATGCTGTCTGGCTAGGAATTGTGGGAACTGTAGTCCAAAGAAGTAACTTTTCCAGGCTCTGCATCTCATATTATATACACTGTATGGTCGTTTGAGTAGTATATGCAGAGTAAATGAGTGCAGCGTGGATGCCTATGATCTGTATTCCCATATCCAGGCTTAATCTTTGTTGCCTTTTCTTTAACAAGGCTGTTTCTCTCCCGAGAGCCAGCCTTCCTGTTTAGCAACTAGGTATCTGATGTGCAAGATTACACAGTGATTTCATGCAACATCAGAAAACCTTGTTATGGCAGATTAGAAACGACCTGATCAAAAGGCTAGAAAGATAGAGTCATCCCTGCCAGGGTGATCAACACCTCTTCTCTGAGTTTTGCAAAAAAAAAAATCATGGTGCTCTGTAAAGGTTTTGTTTTCTTAACCAGTGTGCTGATTTCTACTCCTGTATGTGTGGCTTGTAGAAGGATCCTGAAGGTGGAGTTCCAGCCACAGGGATTAATGCAACTTGAGCTTCCTGATAAGATTAGCACGCACAAAAGCCTTTCCTATCCAACCCTGCCACTTTTTCTGAATAGAAAAGCAAAGCTTCAGACTAATGACACCTTGGGAAAACCACCAAGGAAATAAAACACCCCTCAAGGGTCATGATGAGGGCAGATATCACAAGGAAATCTGTACAAATGTGGTAATTGCCTATGACAAGTGGATAGCTTACAATGTAATCCTTCCTCATTCAGGTGTTAAAGAGCCCCTATCTCATTCACCTATGGTGAGTTGGAACCTTCTCCAGGCAACCAGGCAATGATATTTTTGATAATGCAGGAAGGCTGATCCGATAGATTTGTGTAAAAAATCACAGTGATGGATCACTCACAGCATACATTAAAAATTGTTTCTAGACCGGCATGAACCACAATATCAAAGAACAGTGTATTTGTGGTTGTTACTACGAGGAACAACATGAATTCAAAAGTGGGGAACTGGGTACACAGCTTCCAGAATCTCACATGAGGAGCCTATAAGATGAATTCTATCATGGGCACCCATCAGAAGTCTTTTTTTGCGTGTGAAAGGTGTATGAATTATTTCTTTAGCAATGAAAGAAGCACGATGTGTGTATGGGGGGAAAATCTCGGTTGAGTAATATTTTATTAGATCACTAAAAAGTTGCCGACAAGGTGAGGTTTTGAGTCCGCCAGAGCACTTCTCAGACTTAAATGGTATAGAAATGGAGGATAGGGTAATAATATTGTCATATGATAAATTTCATATGCTTATTGTCATATGCCATCAAGTCAAATCTGACTTATGACACCCCTTTCCAGGGTTTTCCAGGTAGAGAATACACAGAGGTGGTTGACTCTTCCCTTCTTCCGGAAGTGCCCTGGGACTGTGCAGCTTGCCCAAGGGCACACACCTAAACTACCGAGCTATCCAGCCAGCATGGAATGTAGGCTACGAAGCATAAAGTCCAAAACATCTGGCCTGATGTTGTTGAAGCCAAAGTACTTGCAGAATAGAACTTGGAGGTGAACCGATGTTATCATTTAGAATTGATATGTTCATTTTATCTATTATCATTTTTCTGTCCTCTATTACAGATTGAAGAGAAGCGGGAGACAAATTGGGGAGCATCCGCCTCGCAGACCGGAATCCCTCCATGTAACAACAGACATGGCTACGGAAAGTTTTGCTGGCTTCTTGGACAAACTCAAGGAAATTCATGAGAAAGAAGTGCAGGGTGAGCTGAAATAAGAGGAACACTGATTAAAAACAGAGCTACAGTTGCTTATCAACAGATTTAATTAAAAATAATAAAAATCTATTCAAAAATAATAATGGAACTAAAAATTCAGACCGGTGTCCTGTTCTATTGTACTCCAGCGATCATGGAAAGATAGTTGCATAAGCATTTCCCATGCTCTTGCAGGCTTCCTGTTATGTGCTCAGTTGCACAATGGAGATGGGAAAGCTTGTACAATTTCCCATACACAACAGCAAAGCTCCCTCTAAGCTGCATGGCTGTGCGGCACTGTATTGGTGATGCAAGTGGTCAGCTGCACAGGGAGGTGAGGAAGAGCTGGCCAGACTCCTTTCCACAATTAGTGCAACAACAACAGCAGCAGCAAGCTGCAGAGCTGAGCACCGCACGCCCAACGGTGAATGGGCCAGCCAGTTCAGGGAGGAGGGAATGGACCTCCATGGCACCTTTATCATGACAGTACCCACAGCCAGACCCTCCAGGGGTGTGCAAAGATATAGTCATCTTGACTGTTCCTATATCCTTACACAAGGACCAGCTTCTTTATCAAGTCAATGACTCTAGATTGCCCATTAACAAGCAATTCCCCTTCCACAAATGCTTTGTATGCAAGAGTGATTGCTTCCTACAATGGCTGAAATCCAGTAACGTCACAAATAGAGTAGGACCATTTGATCAGTGGGGACTGGATAAGTTAAATCCTCCATAAGTTCCATTGATTTCAATGAGCCTACTCTAATGGTAACTTACTATCAGATTTAAGCTACTACAGTGGTACCTTGACTTACGAACTTAATCTGTATTTGAACGGCATTCGTACATTGAAAAGTTCGTAAGTCAAGGCAAAGTTTCCCATAGTAATGCACTGAAAACCATTTAATCTCTTCTGGCTGTTTTTCGTTCGTATGTCAAGGTGCTGTTCGCAAGTAGAGGCATTAGTTCCCATAGGAACTAATGCAAAGCCAGTTAATCCATACTCTACCACAGGGATAGAGTACTCTACAACTAGGGGGAGAATGTTTTTTTTTTCTTTAGACCTAAGATGAACTTAGGTCAAAAAAAGGACAGGAAAGGGGTTTTTTTTATTCGTAAATTGAGGCTGCATTTGCAAGTCGAAGCAACATTTTGCAAACGGAGCCATTCGTAACTCAAAATGTTCGCAGCTGGAGACGTTAGTAAGTCGAGGTGCCACTGTGTATTGAGACCACATCCAGCTCTACACATCACCTCTGATGTGTGGGAAGAACCCCCTCCCAACACCACACCAGAGTGATCTAGGTAACTGATCAGCAAGACCAGAGTAGACCTTTGGTCTAGATGGGCGGGATAGAAATCCAATAAATAAATAAATAATAAAGCAGTGTTCATTTAGACCGATCCTAATTGTTCCAAATAAATAGTAGGCTTCAACCTTAGATCTATTGGAGAATTAATTCCTTTTATAGCTAGCAGAGTATCAGGTACAACAACTGCACAGAGGAAGCATAAGAGAATAGCTTAGGTCTTAGTAGCCCAACCCTTTTCACAATGACCAGCACTTTACATGTTAAAAATCACCCTGGAATCATTGTAAGTGGGGGGAAAGGTATATTTACTTACAGTTGCTATCTATAGTTAAAGTCAATAGAAAAATAGAGAAAATTTAGTCTTCACACATGGGAGAGACCCCTCTGTTGCTTCCTGCATGCTCAGAGGTCAAAAAGCCCTCCGCCACTAGTGCCCAGGCAAGAGGAGAAGGGGACGACCGAGGATGAGATGGTTGGACAGTGTCATCGCAGCAACCAACATGAATTTGACACAACTCCGGGAGGCGGTGGAAGACAGGAGGGCCTGGCGTGCTCTGGTCCATGGGGTCACGAAGAGTCGGACATGACTAAACGACTGAACACACACACACTAGTGCCCAGTGTTAGAAAGCGTGCAAGATTAATATCATCTCAACATGGTCTGCCACTAGTGCCCAGTGTTAGAAAGAGTGCAAGATTAATATCATCTCAACATGGTCTGGAATAGATTGATCCCCTTTAGGGATGGGTTGGAATGCTCTAACAAGAACATTGTGTAGTTGACATTTTTTAGAGCGAGCCCAACCGTTCCAGCAGGGGAACTAAAGAGTGAGATAGATTCTCTTAAGTAACCAACCTCAATATTATTTCAAGTGGAACTACTTTGGTCAGAAGCTTTGTAACCTGCGTTTACAAATAAGAATGTCAACATTTACTCAACCCAATAGAAAAGCCCTATTTGACCAGTGTGCCTATTTAACTAGTCTCCGTTTTAGTGATATGCCAGAAAGATCCATGATCCTGACTCCACACTTTTTAAAACTCTTTCAGGCCTGCAGAGCAAACTGAACGAGCTGACCAATGAGAAATGTCGGTGAGTGAAGCAAATCTATGATCAGACAGTGGATGGACTTAGATTGTGTGTGTGTGTGTGTGTGTGTGTGTGTGTGAGAGAGAGAGAGAGAGAGAGAGAGAGAGAGAGAGAGAGAGAGAGATGTACATATCAACATGATTGCCCCGGGAGCACAGAAACTCCCTGGGTAGGCCAAGGACATTTTGATTCCCGAGGAAAGAATAAAAGGGTACCCGATTTCCATTCCATGGTCAAGTGAGGACTAGCCCAAAAGTTAAATCATGTTGAAGTACTGATGACAGAGCTTTATTCCTTGCTGGACCTGAGGGCAATAGGCTAAGATCAGGCACAAAGATCAGGCACAAACGCCTCAGCCTTCCCCAACATTTGCCATCTGAGGTAGCTGTCTAACTCTACTTAACAGTTGTCTGCTCACAACACAGGCTCAATCCCTGGTGACCAACTCAAGGTTCACTCAGCCTTCCATCCTTCTGAGGTTGGTACATTGAGTACCCAGCTTGCTGTGGGTGGAAGAGGCAATGTGTAGCCTGCATAATTAAATTGAAAATCACCGAGGGAGCAATATATAAGCAGCATACTTTGCTTTTGCTTTATTTGCTATTTGCTTTCTCCAGTGTAGATGTTCTGTATTCCCTCACTAGCCTATTTGTTAAGGTATTTACATTCTTGTTAAAAAGGGGGGGGGGATGGAGGGATGACCAATGAAGAGAGACAGTGTGAGCACTGATTTGCATAATATTGGCATGTCCTGCTTTATATGTGTAGATGTGAATTTAGGAGCAATTACAATGCTTCAAACATAAATACGTGCAAAGGCCAGAATCCAATTTACACATACTTACTTAAAATTGTGTTAAATCATGGTAGCATGGTACGATTGACAAGATGCTGGTTTCATTTCTGGTCAAGTGACTGGTGGCGTGGCAGGCACACAATGAAGAACCTGACAGGCAATTTCATTGATTAGTGGCAATTTGCCATTGTGAATTACATGATTTCATTTATACCCACACAAATTGGTCATAGGATTCTGGCTAATACATCTCACCGCAATATGGATTTAAAACTCCAGCCAGATGATTTGTGGATCTGAATGGGCAACTTCAAGGCTTCCACTCTCCCCTCAATGTGCTTTTTTAATTTTGAATTGACAGTGGACTGGGACACTCTTCAAACAGGAGATTCCTTCTCGTAGACGACTGCCCTCGGGCATAAGCAATAATTTTGCTTGCCGTTGTAGGATCTCCTTCCTGGAAAAGTGTGATATTTTGGTTAATAATCTTTAGCTACACAGCAGAGGGCAGCGACCTACAGAGTAGAATTAGCTTCAAATTTCCCCTTTAGCTTCTCATCAGCTGGCACTTACAGTCTCAATAACACACCCTCAGATGTTGGTAAGAAAAAGAATAGAAGATTCCATTTACTCACAGTTCTGAACGCACCCTCAGATGTTGGTAAGAAAAAGAAGATTCCATTTACTCACAGTTCTGAACATATCAAAAACAGCATGTTGTAGAAAAATTGACTTTCAGGAATAGATCTTAACTGGTTACATTACTGCATACTGACTAGATAACTAACTCTAACTGAATGTTGGCTGAAAAAGAGCGGGAGGGGGAAGATGCTTAAGGAGAGAGGTGTGTCTCTATTCAAAATCAGAAGCAGGGAAGGAACAATTGGTTGCTGCTGGATTGATTGACAGTCACCTTAGCCCTGAAAGGTCCCTCCCAGCCAAATCTCTTAAAGGCAATATATGAGTGTGTTCTCGAAAGCTTTCACAGCCAGGATCTGATGGTTGTTATGTTGGGTGTTTTTTTGTTTTTTTTTTAGCACTTTGGCTGTCTTCTAGAAGTTGTTCTTCCTAACATTTGACCATTCTCTGTGGCCAGCATCTTCAGAGGACTGGAATAGGAATTCAGTCCATGCTCTGTTGCTGTGACTTATCACTTATCACAACAATACATCCACAACAAAAACATGCTGATCACTCTATCTCCTGAAAAGGACAAAAGCTGTTCCCACAGCTATAAATACTCAACTCTCCAACAACAGCGACAGAGCATGGACTGAATTCCTACTCCTGTCCTCTGAAAATACTGGCCACAGAGACTGGCGAAACGTCCGGAAGAACAACCTTCAGAATACGGCCAAAGAGCCTAAAAAACCCACAACGCAGTATATGAGGTTGAAATGAATTCCAACAGGAAAAAAACAAGTTTTCACATCTTATTCATTGTTTTCCCCCTGATTTAGAGACACTCAAAGAATTGAAGAACTGTTTGCTAAAAACCACCAGCTACGAGAACAGCAAAAACTCCTTAAAGAAAATGTGAAAGTACTTGAAAACAGGTAATACAGATTCATGCTTACTCACGCCAGCTATGTTCCAGCTTCCCACTTTCCCCTCTCCCGTTTGCCAGTACGGATGCTTGTTGATATCTTTCTGAATTTCAAAACAGAAAAAGATGATTCACACCTTCCACTATAGCATGTGGATCAGAGCTTAGTTACTCTGGAACCTTAAGTTCAACCCCATCCGAAGCTCACAACACGTCTCAAAATGAATTTTAAACTAATGTTTTGAGAGTAAACACATCTGGAAATGAATACTTTTAATGCAAATTTACATGTGAGGTTTTAAGAATTTTCAAATGCAAAACTGGGGTGACTCAAATAGTAAGTGAACCCAAGCAGAAGTTATTTGGAATGGAAATTGACCACTTTAATGATTCCTAACTGCTGTGATCTTCACACTCTTTTGTGCATTGTTTTATTCACACAGTATGATGTTGAAATCTTGCAGTGGAATCTCTAGTCCTCCCCTGCCATTCTCAAGAGAGGATCCATGCCTAGGAAAGGGCTTTTTTGGTGCCAGATTTTGATAACACCTACATGTTTTAATTTGATGGTCTGAAATGACCCAAGATGCATATATGGAAGTTCTCCATTCCCTCTTTTTAAGAAATTTACATATACTAGCAGAGTGCAGTGGGATACTACTATTCAAGAGCATCTCCTGCGGGTACTCACAATTAAGCTCCCCCAAATTTGAAAACCTACATTTATCTTTCAGGAAATCCATTCAGCGATAGTGCAGGGAAAAGAGTCCTAAACTTAGCTGCAGAAGCTCCCCCCCCCCATGCTGACTTCTGTGCTGAAGACCCCATGTGGCACCTCTTTCTAACAAAGGAGAACAGGAAGTGTACCAAAAAAAAGAGGAAAGCCTTAGCATAGTGATTCGTACCTCACAAAATGGTTACTTGGAGGGGACGCGACGCCTGAGCATTCCTCTCAGGCTCTCCCACTGGTTCAGGGTGTGATCAGCAGTCCGGAATATGAGCTATAGCTCTTGTCCGATTGTACACTCAGGTTACCTGTTACATGCGCCTGGAACTTTAACTTCCAGCATCCTCATGATTGGCCGTGTGAACTATGATTGATGGAATTTTAATCTAATAAGATCTGGAGGGCCAACATCTTTCCCACCTCTGTTCTAATGAATATAGGTGAGAGGAATGGCTCTCCATCACCACTCAGATTCTCTTGCTGTAACTGTATATCAGAAAGAACCGGGCTGGGTAGCTCAGGTGGGTTCTATATCTGGCTGTGGAGCCAGAGGTTGGGAGTTTGATTCCCCACTGGGCTTCCAGGGAGAAGAGCCAGCCTGGGTGGCCTTGGGCAAGTTGCACAGTCCCAGGACACACCCCCTAGTGGAGGAGAATGGCAATGCACTCCTAAGTATCTTCTACCTTGAAAACCCTGAGAATTGGGTCAGAATTGACTTGATGGCACATTATTATTATACCAGAAAGGGCTATTAAGGAAGCAGGACCAGCATGGGATCAAACGCTTGCCTCCAACTTCGCTCCTAATAGGTCAGGTTGCGGATAAAAATATTGCAGAGCAGAGGGCTACCGTTCAGGAAATCCAGCCACCTGACTGCATTCTCCCTGCCTTGGGATGGAAAGGGTTTTGTCAGATTTGGCAGCTTCAACACAAACAGCCTTTCCATTCTGGAGGAACAAAGCGCTCATAGAGCCATGCGCTGTTTAATAAAAGGCGAATGGCTAAAATGCATATCAGTGCAAAATAGGCACAAGTTTGCTTTAATCCACAGGGAGAAACTGCGCTCATTAAGTAAAATGTATAAATAGATTCCTGTGTTAGGGGAAACATGCTGAGAAAGTATGCACAAATGTAATTAATTATTAGGTGCAGTAATGCTGACTTAGCGTGACCCTTTCCAGGGTTTTATAGGTACAGAGAACAAACAACTGGTTTGCCATTCTCTTCTTCAGGGGACACTCTAGCCTGTGCCCAAGGCCACATGTTGTTGTTGTTTAGTCGTTAAGTCATGCCCAACTCTTCATGACCCCATGGACCAGAGCACGCCAGGCCCTCCTGTCTTCCACTGCCTCCTGGAGTTGGGTCAAAGTCATGTTGGTCGCTTCGATGACACTGTCCAACCCTCTCGTCCTCTGTCGTCCCCTTCTCCTCTTGATAAATGAAAGCCACATAGGCTGGTTCCGTCCTTGCAGCCTAAAACGAAACAAGGCTGAGAGGAAAATACAGGTATCGGATTTGGAAAAAAGCACCGTGAGATCAGAAGAGATATTTTCCTATGCCAAACGCCATCCCCAGTTTTCCATCAGCCAACATTATTCTCTCCCCCATCTTTCCCCATCTTAATTCTGTAAATGAATGAAGTTCTCCTGAGATTTGATTATACTTCCTTTCTGTCTGCAGGAGGCGCTCTTTTGTCTCATGATCAGAGTTTGGGGGGGAAAATGCATTAGTAACATATTGGCATTAAAACTGTCCTTTTTATTTTCAGAGGAACAAATGTTTGGTAATCAAAACGCTACCTTCAAAATGTTATTCTTCAGATGCACCAGCTGACATTTCTTCCTCTGACATTTCTTCAAAATGTTATTTTTTAAAACGCAAGACGTGTTCTTCCTGTTAGCAGCCAAAGTAATGATCTGAGCGTAAGCGGGCTAAATCGAATGTGTCATTTCCAAGTTATGCTTTGCTGCCTGAACATCAGGGACAGAAGGAAGAATTCTACAGAGGTTCTTCCAAACCGCCTCTCTGCTCAGAAAACATCATCCTCTAGCTTTACTACTTTCCAGGTTGCGAGCTGGTCTCTGCGACAGATGTCAGGTGACCCAAGAACTTGCCAAGAAGAAGCAACATGAGTTTGGGAAGGCCCATTTCCAGAGTCTTCAACTCATCTTCATCCTCAGTAAGCAAAGTGGGAAATGGGTCCCCTTGATTTCCTGATAGCGAGACGCAACAGTCATGGTTAAACAAAGTTTGCAAGATATTTGCAATATTATGGCATGGAGCAATCAGTTACAGTAGGATCCCCCCCCCAACAGATACAGAAGACTGTGGATAATAGCAAACCCTATATATTACATAGTGTGTTGGACCCAGGGCTCCCCCTGTACCTGTAACAACAATAACCAAGGGTGGCTGGGAACGGGGCTCTATTAGGTAGAAGGAGTCTCCTCAAAACGGTGGGACACTAGGTAAAATGATAGTGTGTTACCTATATAGCCTAGTGTCTTGTTCCCTCTAGTGGCCAATTCTGGTAATTACATCATGTCAACACATATTTCAGGGTTATTTCATTTTATATTTTTAATATTTTCAGACCGTGGATAAATGAAATTACAGATACAGTTCCTCCTTATACGGGGTCCTACTGTATTTGTTTTAGTTTTCTTCTTGGCTCATTTTAGTGTGTTTGTGTTGTTCCCCGTATGTCGAAAGCTGGCTTGTGGAGTGAAAAAAAAATAGCAAAGAAAGAAACACAAGAAAGATAAGGAAATAAAGCTCATTAGGGCATAGATGCAACTGGCGAGGCCAGATTTTAGGGAGAGAAGGGACTTATGAAGCTTTTAATTCTGGTGCTATTCCACCACAGCAAAAGGCTGTCGGTTTATAAGATGACTCTTAGGGTTACCACGTCTCAGGGCACCAGATGAAGTCTCAGAGAACTGCTTTATTTCTCCAGCTGTAAAGGCAGGGAGATAAATCTCAGGATGAACTGCGCTGGAGGAAAAGAAAAGTTGTTTTCTTGATGGCCACGCACCTCCTTCAATTCCCAGAGGGCATCAGGGCTCACTGGCTTAAGTGTGAACGTGTTCGTGTGCCTATTGCATTTGCACAACACTGGTGCATCATAAAGCCAAGAATCGGGAGCAATTTCAGGAGGGGAAAGGAACTTGGACCTGTTGTGCCATTTGGAGCAAGGAAGGGAGTGTGCCATGGCCATGTAATCTGCACATCTTACCAGTAATTGCTCCCTCGTTTCTGGGTCATCACATCACCCACTTAGCTGGGGTTTGCTCACATCCTGACCCTAAATTTGCCAATTTCTGGAAACTAATGGGCCCACAAGCAGAGCCAGATCCCAACCAATGCTTCCTTGAACAGACTCTATAAAATCTCAAGGAACCACCCTTGTGATATCATACGAGCTTGCTCCCTAGATCTTAAGTTCAGGCCCTGAGATCTCAAGGAAAGGAAAGCTATTGACTCGGTTGGCCCAGGAGCTGTGTGTCCTACTTTACAGTCCTTTGTATGAATGGGGTTTCAGTCCAACTACAGTAAAGTCCTTGAGTCTTTCCTATAACCATTAGTACAAAAACAGCACATTAAGTGTGCATATAAGTTATCTGGTCACAGTCTTCCTCTTCTGTATCAGAAGCCAGATGTTGCCTAGTCCATGAGTATAGAAAGTGTGATCCTCCAGAAATTGATGGACTACAATTCCCATCAGTCTTAACCATCATTGCTAAAAGCAAGGAACATTGGAAGCTACAGCCCAACGGTGTCTGGAGACTCAGTTTTTGCCAGATGTTAGTCTAGCACAGACCTGAGCAAAGTGCGGCCCTCCAGATGATGCTGAACTGCAAATCCCAACACTCCTCGCTATTGGCTGTGTGGGCTAGGATTGCTGGGAGTTGCAGTTCAGCAACATCTGGAGGGCCACATTTTGCCCAGGTCTGGTCTAGCAGAAGGGAACCGAGATGCCTATAGGTATAGGTTCACACAACTGCTGGGTGAAGGCATGGCCAGTTATGAAATAAAGGCTCGTAAGTAAATTGAGTAAAAGCCCCTCAGTAGATCTTTCCTCAAGTGACTGATGGCCTGCAGTTGGGGCTCCATAGACGTCAATAAGTCCATGGGGCATCTCCTAACCCAGCATTTGCTTTCCTCCCTCTTACAGCCAATGAAACGAATAAACTGAGAGAGGAAAACAGGAATTTGAAGGAAGAACTGAAGAGGCTTTGCGGCACAGAGTAAGCTTTCCTAACTTGTGCTGATCACCTGGTGTTTCGAATTCCTCAAGGTCCAATCCAGTTATGGCAGGTTGGCCATGACAGAGTCCTTTCTTTCTTGAGGGATTTGATACTTGTCATGGAAGCTGGGGGTGAGTCTTCCTCCTAAAGCTTCATTGTGTGACATGACACCTTGAGCTGTTCCAGTCCTAAATTTGGGGAGTTTGAAGTGTGATCCATTGAAAAAAGCTCAAGAGCTGTTCACTTGTTTCACGCTTCTTGTCAAGAGAAAGGAGCTTCCCTGTTTCTTTAGGAAAGAGGTTGAGTTCTCAATGAGCTGAGGATATCTGTATCTCACCATGTGGGGTCTCATCTAATTGAATGCCCTTCCACCTAGAGTGGAATGTAGGTAACCTGCCCAGACCTCAAAAACTTTGCCAGAAAAACCTACCCCTTTTATGTTGTGTGTGGGTGTGTTTCAACCTCCCCCAATCACCAACAGACACACACACACCAGAGCAAAACAGAAAGCTCCAGACAAGAAGTAGACATCTGGGCATTTCACTTTCTCCCTTTTGCTCTGGTTTTATACAATTTTGCCCATTCGTGGGCCAGCTGCAAACCCTGGAGAGCTTTGGTGGCAAATTTTTGTCCCCCCCAGGCCCACCAAAGTTGCCCCCAACCCTTATTCAAAAGTAAGCCCTTCAAGAAGAAAGCTAGCAGTTCTGGTGGGAAATCAACTCCTTCCTACCATTAAGTTTTCTGCTTGATGATTTGCTTAATGTCATTTGCCACCTTTATATCTCATTTTACATTGGGGAATATATCCAATAGTTCAAAATACTGTAGTGTTTCCAAGCAGATTCTGGTGTGCCTTCCTAAACCTGAACAAATGCTTCCTTATTTTGTATTGGTCACTTGTTATGCTTGCTGGTGTGTGAAAACCCCAGCATCACATTTCTGTACTTTAAGCAGTGATATGAGATATTTCTTGTTGTACTCTGTGACACATAGCTCAACATGCAGCACCAAGCGCTTACGGCAGCTTCTCAACTTGTCACGGTTCATCTTTAAGATTTACGCCAATTGCTTTAAGCTGGTGTAAAACCATAATAGGATTCTAGCCAATTTTGTATTGAAATGTATCCAGGACTCTTCAGGATGGAAATATCTTTTGGCCTGCTTCTCAGTCTGTTGTGTGCCTTAAAACATTACCTAAGGTGCATCTCCCACAGCAATTAACCTGTTGAGGGGAAGTAGCCACATAAGATTTTAGTCGTGTTGCAGTGAAATTAACTGAACAACAGTGAACAGCACTGAAGTGCATTTTAATGGAGAAACTGCATTGTAGAAAGTAAATTTAACTGATTTAACTACCACCAGGTGGCAGCATTGCTCTGCTTAAATCTGGCATAATAAATACGATAGCAAGATAGCAAGTCTTGCGATAAGAAGGGCTATCCCCTAGCCTTGGCTTGCTGCATGATTGCAAATGTTTCTCTCCCCGTCTCTCTCTATATATAAAAATAGCAAACCGCTCAAAATCCCTTCGAGAAAAAGAGTGTAGTTACTATTTTTTTCATTGCTGCAATTGATCCCTTTGGACCAAACGAGAGAACCACTTTGGATTTCCTACTGCAAGGTGTGCTATTGTGCAGTTCGGCCTACGAAAGGGGCATTGTGCCCAGCAGTTTAGTGGTAAATTTGGAGGTCATCATGAGAGTCCCCACTGCCACACATCACACATAAGAAGAGTCCCAAAAAGGTCAGCAGCTGGACTAGTTCATACGAGCAAAGCAGGACTTTTGACTAGTGAATCTCTCTTAATTGTCCGTTCAAGACCAGAGCACTCTCAAATATTTTGTATTACAATCCGGACAGATTGCAAAAATATACCGTTCATGAGAAGATCCATGTCTTTTATCACTATTGTGATCATTGCAGCACAGCTGAGAATAAATAGATGAATCTGAGATAGAGGGACAATTTCGTAGTCCCTGATTGCTACCTAAATAGTCTGGGGGCTTTCCTGCCGTCAGACCTGCCTGCCCTGCAGCTCCTGTCATGCCTAGTCAATGGGAAAGTTGGACTGTGCAGGACCAGTTTCTCCAAAATATCACTGGCATTCTGAAGTTACAGAGTCAGTGTTTCTGTACAGCCAGCAAAGTTGTCCCTCTCTGCTCCTTGGCAGGGCATGAGAAACTTTTTTTTCACCTCCAAACACGATGGGCAAGAAATGAAAAGCCCTAACAGCTTTGAAGATTCCACCACCCATCCCTCTGAGCCTTACATGAGGCTTTTCACTGTTCTGAGGCACCCAGGTAGATCAGCTTTAAACACTCCTGTGCTGTGGTCACAAACTGCTTCTCAAGCAAGGAGAGGACAAGATGGATAAAGAATCAAGCAACATACATGTAAAGAGTAACCGAATTTCTTGCCTTTGCTCCTGATACCCAGGGTTCACTCCGACAGATGTCCTTCTCTGTTCATCCCTTTCTACTGTCTTTCACCCATCCATTGGTGTCTTTTGTGTTTCCACAGGGACAAGCCAAGATCTTTCAAGGGACCATCAAGAGAAGGAAGTGCTACCCCAGACTCACCACTACCCTTGGTCTCCATGCGGAGTAGGAAATCAAGCCCTAAGAAGACTGCAGGCAATGAGGCAGAAGATGAGAGTGGTGAACTCGTTGGCCATCCGCTGGCAGGAGGCACGTTCTCCCAAGGATTTGGGTCTATAGTCCTTCCTGACCATTGAGACCTGCACAAGAAAGCTGTCCTTTATCTGGAGTTGTTTGATTCGCCTTCCACTTTCATGCTGAGATGAACTGTTTTCTGCTAGGTTGACCTTGAACCTCACAATGCAAAGCTCTGAAAAGTGGCTCCTGGGAACTTTACAAGTCCCAGAATCCCCCAGCCAGCACCTCCAAGAAATGTTGGATAGCTCAGTGGTTTCAGCATCTGGCTGCAGAGCCAGAGGTTGGGGGTTCGATTCCCCAGTGGGCATCCTTGACAGGGGCTGGACTAAGTGGTCCATAGGGTCCCTTCCAGCTCTGCAGTTCTAAGATGATTATGATGATTTCCATTCTCTCCTACCTTCTCTGTAGCAGTTTATAGATTTGTTTCTCTTTTTTAAAAAAAATTAAATTGTGTGTGCAATAGCCATATCAGCCTGTTGCAATGAAACTAACAAAAGTCTTATAGCAACATAAAGACTACTGTGTTTCTTGAGCATGCATTTTCAGGGAGGTTAGCCCACTTGATCAGATGCACCTTATGTGCAATAAAATTGCCAAGCTCTACCGCCAACCTGTGTTCTCCTGCTTAAGAGAGAACCACCACTAGTATTAAGGAGCTGTGCTCAGGGTCTCTGTGTTGGATTTTGGCCCATGCATGGTTCTTGCTAGCTCACAAGGAAAATGACCATCCCTCTTTGTCTTAAAAAGCTCGGGATTATTCTTGGTATTCCAGCTCCTTTGTCCTGAAAGAGGCTTTGATAACCCATGAAGTCAGAATGATGTCTATGGTTAATACGTGACAGCAGTGTTTCTCTCTCTCTTTTCTCTAGCTCAGTCTCCAGAACAGAGAATTACTTCTCCTTGTGCCAGGATCTCTCCTAACATTCTCCAGGGAGAACATGCTCTGGAGTTGGTAAGCATTTCACCCATCTTTACTCATTTTTCCTCCTTTTGATCCTTGACTTTATGCTGAGAATCCTGAACAAGAGATAAATTTTCAGTATCAGCTGAAAACGTGCAAGAATAAGATCCCAGCATTTAGATTATTTATACTCAAGTTTCCCCGTTCATCACGGAAGCTCTATCTAAGTCAAGAAGCTTTTCTCTCCAAATGTTCTGGATTTCCACTTCCATAATTTCTTACCTTTCTCTATGCTAACTAGGGGTGACAAGTTGAAATTTGAGTATTCAGTTCTTAAAAGAAAAAAAAACTTCAGTTTTATAAATGTATGCTATTGTGCGTCTGTACCCACAATTTGAAACACCAGGAAATGGTCCAATATTGCTGCTTCAGTTTTATAATTGTGCGTCTGTCTGTACCCACAATTTGAAACACCAGGAAATGGTCCAATATTGCTGCACAATATTGTGCCTGAGTTGTCAGCCAGGAAAAAAAGGATGCTAAGCAAAGAGTTGCATGAATGTACCCAACACCAATGGCAGCATTCAAGATGGTCTACAGGATCCCCTCTTGGGCTGACTACAACTCACAAAGTAACACCATGCAAGGGAAAGTCTCAGAAGCTGACACCTTTTTTCATCAGTTAATCACTTCTCACCCAAACACAAAGCAATGGTCAGTGGGCTGTTGTTTTTCAAGAAATGGGAATGGGATTCTGGAGAAGTAATTAAAAAATAAACTTTTCATAGCTCTGCCTAAACTTTCTAGTAGTTCTGCCAAAATGCCCCATACCTTTCTTCTGCTCCTCGCCTAATAACCCTCCATCTGCCAGTCTCTGAGGTGCCAAAGACTGAAAGAGAGTTTATCACCCTGACCCTACACTCATCAACTCACTTCCAGCTGTGCACTGTGCTCATTCAATCCTGTGTGTTTTAAGATGGAAGTCCACTCAAAGTGGAGTCCAGCAAATTTGGGGGAAGTGAGTCTTCAAAACAGTTTCTCTTTAAGAATTCAATTCCCTTCATTGTTGTCCTGAAAATTTAATTGGGGGGGGGATGGATTAGAAACCACTGAAGTGCCTGGAAATCTGAATCTTCACTTATACTCAACATCCATATTTGCAAGCCACTAGATGTTTTACACTATAGCAAATTTCTGGAGGCTTTTCTTGTCTTAGCTGTGCGTGAACATGTACAGTGGGGTCTTGACTTAAGAACGGCTCGAGTTAAGAACATTTTGACTTAAGAACCACTCTCATAGGAAAATATTGACTTGACTTAAGTACTTAGATTTGAGTTACGACCTGAAAAAAAACCCACGTGGGAGGCAGGGAAAGGGCAAAATGTGAACTTTCAGTCAACTGTTGGCCAGTGAAAAGGGAGCCTGTCTGCTTCCTCACTCCTCCCAGCGTTTAGAGAGTGGATTGGGAGACAGTCTTCAGACTGCCTGGTTCTGCCTGGACTGGATTTTCCCTGCCTTCCCTGAACCTTTCTTGACCTAAGAAAAAAAGAAACAAAATATCCCCCTCTAGTGGTCGAAGGCGGAATAGCAGCTTCCCATTAATTTCTATGGACGGAAAAGAGCAGATACGGATCAAATGGTTTTCAATGCATTCCTATGGGAAATGCAGATTTGACCTGAGAACTTTTTGACTTGAGAACCGCCTTCCAATACGGATTAAGTTCTCAAGTCAAGACCCCACTGTATCTTACAACCATCATCTTTGTTTAGATGTACTTTGCTAGATTGGATCAATGTCTTTTATATCAAGATCTTAGCTACCTCAAGACTGCAATATCTTCCTTGTGCAGCTGCAACTAAAAACAAAAATTAGGAACTCTAAATAAAACGGTAGATCTCTTGGTTCACCACTCCGGTTGGATGGTGAATCTAGAAGCAGGAATAGTGAAAAACTTTGGCTTGAAGTGGGAATTCTGTCCAGGTCCCTATCTCTCAAAAATGTGGAGCAGGATTTTCCCACTTCCCCCAGGTTGCTCTTTTTCTCTATCCACCTAAAAATTGCAGGCAGGAAATCATGAAATCAAGCCTTGTTTCCCCTCTTATGGTCTGTTATTAGAGTTCTCAGAGGATAGCAAACCAACTGCATGGGACAATTGCATTGCTGAGGTCAAGATCCAGCTCACAGGAAAGTGATGGGACAGGAAAGGCCACTCCACCCCTTGCAAGCCAAACCCCACCATCTCCACAGACGGATCAGAGCACCAGCTTTGAAGAGTAAGTAAGAGCTCCAGAAAAGAGTCCAATCCAAGCCGAGTCACCAGTGCGACTTAAGACCGACTTGACAGAGAGTCCCGTCACTCAAATCCCCACCCATGCTGGGTTTTGTAATCTTCTATTTACAAGGGTAGAAAAACATTGAGTTCCTTGTCTTACGGTGGGGGGAGGGAGACATGAAGCCCCTGTTCTTCACCCAATTGCTTAGGAAACACAGTATGCAGAGCTTGAATGTTACTTCCCCAAAGTAATCGGTTACTTTTTAGTCATATACCCAGAGTCCCAAAAAGTATTTAGCTCCCGTTGTGCTTATAATTTTTGGAAAGCGACAATTTGCCTCCCTGTTTCTCAAAAATAACTAAAATGGTTATTAATGTAGTTTTACTTTGAAAACCAGTGCTGACCACCTCAGCCGTGGTGTGAGTGGGCCAGAGTCTTCACTGTGCCACAGCCAAAACAGACAGCAACTGCTATGTGCATCCAGGGTCAATGTCAGAAGGATGAAGATGGAGGGGCCCTTTCAGCTTGTACCAAAGGGAGGGAGAAAGAGGGAGAGAGAAAGAG